CAATCTATTTATTGTTTTAGAGAAGTGTGCACACGTGTGTGTTTGTTTATGAAGATTCCATAGGGGACAGCATGCTTTTCTTGGTTTTCTTTTCAACATAGGAAATGTCTATGTTGGGAAATAAGGGAGTTGGGGTTGGTAAAAGGGATGGTAGAAGCGGTAGGTAAACAGAGTATTCAAAATGGCTGCAGCTCATGGGAACACAAGCAGAATAATCATGCAGGTCCCAAACACATCATTGAAAATGTGTATGATGTTTTGCCTGCTAATTTTAATGGTTCATCCTGCATAGGTCTGAGTCTTCATTTTTTGGAAAGTGTCTTCCTTTCTTTGTATTTTTAGTCGTTTTGTTCTTGCCTTTTTTACTTTGCTTCCCCTCTTCAAATGGCCCTTTTTCAACATCTAATTTCCAGTTTTGGTTGCAGCCTATATCGGTCACTGAGCATTGGAGGCCTTTTATCCGGTGAATATGCAATAAAGACGAGCTGGGGGGAAAGACAATAGCAACCACATTTGGAATTTCCAAATTAGTGATCATAAACTGTGGGCATAAATAAAATATGCACGTGACTTTGCTTCATGCCTGTGAATCTGAGAGGAGCCCTTTAGGTCCCCAATATAAACGTTAATGTTAGGAAACATGGAAGAAACAAGTTGTATAAAAAAAAAAAAGCCCAAACAAAAAACTCTAAATTTCCTAACAGTAGAGCAGTCCAAAAGTGGTACAAGCCATCTCTGGAAGAAGTGAGTTCTGTGGTTCCTAGACAGATTGTCAAGCAGAGGAAAATATCTGTTGGGTATGTTGCTGAGAGAATTATTAGCTATCTATCAATTGATCAAGATGGGCTTCTGAGGTCCCTTCCAACTCTCAGGTTCTGTGCTTATGAGGATAGGCAGGAAACTGGATACCTGCCTTTAGTAAATGACTTCCTATCACGCACGTTGAGTATGAACCTAGTCATAAACATATTTGGAAAAAAAAAAAGAGTAGATTGTAGTTCCAATAAGTGTTAGATTTATTTTTAAGCGAACTGGCAAGGAAACATTTAAAAAAGTTTTTGGCCACATTCACCTGATTATTTAAACACAAAAACTAAACCACTTAAATGCCTACATGTAGCCAGTTTTAATTACAGTAATTTATTTTTGAAAAAAATCTTATAAAGCCTTATATTGCTTTTTCTTTGCCTGTATGGTAAATGTCATTTTTCCAAATGATTTCTCATTGTGTGGTATGACCATTTGCCCTCTCCCTGGAATGTCTAATAATTTTAACTTAATTATTGCTTGTTTGGTGATGGATGGCATGAAACCTAGTTAGAAAACGGATAAAATTGATTTTAGAATATATGGTTAGGTCCAGTGGTGATTGGAGCCTATGGAAAAAAAATCACAAAATTCTCACACTTTGATCTTCATCAAAGAAACGAAATTCTGCAGTAGGTATTTTATTCTTCCAAAGCAGTCTCTCTACATCCTGTGGCTTTGAATTGTTTTTTTTTTTTTTTACCCCCCCCACCCCTCCTTCTACTAGGTGGGAAACTTAATGTTTTATCATTCCTTCTGAAAATGGAATTTTTTAAAAAAAATCTTGTTTTCAATTCCATTCTGTGCTAAGAGATATGCATATGTGACTCAGCCAGCTACTGAGAGAGAACCCCGGAGGACGTATTTTGGGCACACTAGAAAGCCTGAAGGTGGGCCAAATGAATTGCCCATAAATACAAACAGAGAAACACATGTTGAGAATAACACTGCCTAGGAATGCTAGGAAGTGAGGGCCAAATCCTCATCAGGCTTTGTTTTACCTTCAGTCAGTTCTGTATTCATCTACAAGAGACAAAAACTGGCATTCAGCTGCAGACTTTCATTCAGCTCCCCAGCGGCTTCCACTGGGATCCCAAAGCAATAGGCCCTTGACTTAGGAATAGAAGTAGAGCCGTTTATTCTGCAATTCAGTGGTGGGAGGGAGAAAGAAAAGAGTGGAAACACCACGACATCAACAGGAAATAAAACATTTTTATTGAATATCTGTGGAATAGGTCAGGTCATTGGTAACAACGATCAGAAAACTACTATGGGGTTCACTACACAAAGTGAAACAAAATTTTAACCACCTCATCAAAAAAAAAATGAAGGAAAAATACAGCTAAAGTTGTCGGCTCGCGGGCCACGGGCCGTTATGGCAGGATAGAACACCCCAACATTTCTACAAGATACAGAGAAAACCCACATATAGGAACACTCAAGCAGGCAGTAAATATACACGAAGGCAACTAGGATCTCTCTACAGCATCAGATTTCTAATACTTTACACAGCTTTGTCAGAAAGGTACATGTGGCTTATCTGAGGATGGATGGTCATCTTGGTCAAAAAAGCAGGTTCAGTCACTGTCATGGGCATGATGGCAGAGAGTACCAACCAATTCTACTACGGCAACAGTGTGTCTGGCAGTGTTGGAAGAGAATGCATTAAGAGTACTTAATGCGATAGAGAAATGTGTAATTATCTGGCAGCTGGAACCTGCTTGTTTCTGGGTTCTGTACGAGCAACTCAAAGCTGGATGTGACGAAGTTAAATCTCTGGGTTATGCACACACAACACTCCAAAAGCTAATCTAGCCCCTCTCTTTGGTAGGGTTTGGTCCCTTAAAATTGATTAAAAGAAGTCCTGTTCAATTTTGGTTTTTCTTCCTACACATAGAGGCATTTATTCTCGTAGGACGCCTCTTCCATGGGAAACACATGTAAAGGAAATTATGGCTTAGGGACGATAAAGTCGGGAGAGAGAATTGCCCCCCCCCCCTTCCCAATCTTTATTTTTCATTCTGTGCTCGTCCCAGTTCCAGAGTTTGGTGGCTTTTGCCGTGACTGGGCTAAACAACCAAAGGACCCAACTCATCCCTTATCGAGAAAGTATAAAGAAAGGGTCTCCGTTCATCGGGGGATTGCTGGGTATGCCTAAAGCCTTTTGTCTGGCAGCCCTAGCTGATTTTCCTTGGAGTTAGTGAGGAACATGGCATGCTGGTATGAAGATAAGTATAATAAATTTGGAACGTGAGGCCAAGGTTACGTGTTTCTGATTTGCTGGAAAAATGAGCTTTCGCTTCAGAAGAACTGTTATTGTCTGTGGCCTAGTCAACCCAAAATTTGGTCTCGGGAGAAAGAGAAAAAGAGAGAAAAAGTCTGAAGTGATGTGGAAAGAGTCTAGATGCAGAATGAGATGGTAGATTGCCCTTCATTTAATAAGGCAATGACCTACCAGGTTGGGCTAAGGTATGGAATATTGCACAGTGTTCAACAACATGCTGCGTGGTCCACCCGTTCTCTGAAATTTCCCTGTCCGATGTGTAGCTCTTCAGTTCTGCGTTGGTCCATTTCTAACTCGAACCGTTAGTGCTACGTGGGCCTCCGGCAGTGCAGTATAGAAGGGAATGGCAGTATTATAACAATATCACTACAGAATAAATTGATTGCTATCCACTGAGAAAACTAGATTTCTAAGCACACACGGCAGTCACAGTGATACACAGAGCAGTCTTTGAAGACTCTTATGGAATGACAAATAACTTCATAATAGTGCCATTACTACATAATAACATTGAAAACATTTAAAAACTCCTCCTGAAACGAGCATCTAGTATACAGAAGAGGTTGCTTCAGTTTTCTAGAACTTGTTCTTTGTTTAGTTTCATCTTTTTTTTTTTAAAGGACAAATTAAAACTCATTTCAGTATAAAGAGCATATAAAAGATCACTAGCTGTTTTGGCTTTATCGAAGTGCATTCAGAACTATGGCTAAATTTTGTCCTTTTTTTTTTTTGTCTTGATGGGATTACAATACTGTTGACCACAAAGTCGTTTTGTGTAATAAGCACAGATTGCTGTGTTGAAAAATATTCTGCATTCCTTCTAATCTGGTTTTGTATAATAAAATATTTCATTATAAAGTCTAATGTGCAAACCCATTAAGAGTTCATCCAGAATGGGAAATCTCCAACAGAATTCCCAGGATGCACATTTTATATAAAGGTGAGAATGGAGAGCATCTTCTGGGATGGTCAGGTGGTGATTCACAAATGCTGACTTCTCCCCTCCCAGCCTTTTCCCTTCCCCATCCCCCCCACTCCCCACAATGAATATACACGTACTCACGCATACACACACACCAAACACCATCATGTTATTTACTCTAGGTGCAATAAGAAGAAATAATTCCCTCCCATTCAACTGCTTTCTCATCTGTTGAGTATAAAGCCAAGATTTCAGCTTTTTAAAGTATATACAGACAAATTCTATGCAGTTATCCCTTCCATATCGAGGAGGTTAGGGGCACAGTTCCCCTGCCCTCCACTGTGATATGGAAAATTCATGTGAAATTCGTAGGGGTAGACCGTCCACCTTCATTTGCCTTTAAGGAATCATATAAGGACTTGACCTTTTCTTGTATGATATCAGAGTCTACTGGAATGCCTTTTTAAAAAAATAACAATCCTGCATTTCTAAGTTTCTAAACTTTTTCTGTGTCATCTGCTGGTCTTTACGTGTCTTCCGCAGCTTCTGCAAAACTTTCCCCCAAGTTCTGATTTAATTTCTTATGCCAACCCACCATATATCGAAACCGCCATGGGGAAAGTTGAAATGTGGAAGGGATAACTGTACTCTATTGACTTGTGGCTACGCTTCCTTGAGGTCAGCTATAGAGCTGCTCAGATCATGCTAAGTTGCCCGTGAAAGAATTCTACAAAATGGGATCTACCCCCTCCATGTGTGCAGTGTTAAGAATATCCAGTTATTTGAATGGTTCAGTTGAAAGCTCAGATTTGTTGTCCTTTAAGATGTCACTGTAACTGTACTAGTGCCTTGCAAGTTGGAATTTTTGCTGGAATGCAGACGATACAATATTTAACCCTAATATATATTATCAGCTCTCCTATATCTCAGTCAATTTACATAATTTAAAATAGAACATCTTATTAAAAACATCTAGATATACACAGATTAGGAAACTCGTACAACATACAAATACACAAACTAGAAATAAATTTTTAGCATACTGGTATATACAACAGTGTGATACAATAAATAATTTCTGTCATGCTCTATCTACACATCATATTGCTTAAAAGAAGAGTAGATTTGGGGGGCAGTGGGGTGGTGAAGGTCTTAGGGGGCTCTCTACATTTAAAGTTGTGCAAATTAAAACAGGATTTAAAGGACCACTGATTTGGGTTAGGAATGCATGGCTGGAAATGAAAGGACCCATATTACTGAGGTATTTACAGATACTGGCTAGAGAGCACTATATGGGCAGATGCAGAAAGGCTTCTTCTGTTCCCTTTATTTCTTGACCGCAAGCATGGCATCCACCTCCTCCTCTACCTGTAAGGTGTGCCACTGTGCAATGGGTCGCCTGGGATTGGCCAGCATGTCTGACCAATGTCGTAGCTCCGCGCCGGTGCTGTTGTAGCCCACAAAGACCTTGCCGATGGCATCGTTCTTGCCAATCTTGTCATAGTCCAAAACAGTTACCACAACTTGCACTTTCTAAAAGGGGAGAGAAGAAAAAAAAGGAACAGGGAGATCACAAGGGGACAGGGACCAAGCTCTTCTTGATAAAGCAGTCTAAGCTGAAAGGGGTTGGAAATCAAGCAAGATGAAGACAAAATGGTCAATGGCTGGGAATGAGGACTCCAAAATTCCTGGTTTGACCTACTGATGCAACTTAAGGACCTTTGGGCCATGCTGTGCATCCATTGTTGCTCCCGTAGACACCCTGGGCCTTTCCACCTGCCCTGTAGTTGCACTTTCTTTTACGTTTTATCTTTCTCAAGTACAGAATATGCTCCTTGAGGGCAGGGATTGTTTATATCTCCAGTACTTACTTAGCTAGCACAGTACTAAGCACATAGAAAGCATTTAATGAATACTTTTTCATTCATTCAGTTTGGCCCGGAGATAGTTGGGTAACCTTGGGCAAGTCCCTAAACTTTGTGCTGCTTTAGCTAGATCAACGTTAAAAAAAAGTGATTAACATGGTTGCTGTGTGGACAAAATAAGTAGTATTTTAAAAAGCGTCATCATAGAGGAGGTAGAAACTATTAGGCTAGAACAGTGAAAACATTATTAGGGGCAGTCTGGCTCACAAGTTTTTGTTTGTTTTTCTTTAGCACAAGGGAAGGTTCAGTGTGGGCTGGAAATGGGAAATGATGCAAAGATAAAAGTTATCAATTAAATGCATTTTAAAAAAATTATTCAGACTTTTAAAAAGTAATCAATCACCAAGCATTCATTAAGTACGTACTATGTGCAAAGCATTGATCTGTAATAAATTTATTATCCCTAAGTGGATGTTCTCTTCATAATATGAGACTGTGTTTGGTGACATCTAGTACTTAGATTTTGAATGTGCCTCAAGTTGATCAGAAATTACTTGATGATATCTCTTATATGAATTTATTTGAATAGAGTATGCATTCCTTTCCCTTATGTAATAATGGCTACCACTTATATAATGCTTACCATGTGCCAGGCACTATGCTAAGTTCTTTACAATTATTATCTAATTTTATCCTCAAAAAAAAAAAAACCAAAACCAAAACCATAAACCTTGAGAGGTACATGCTGTTATTATTCCCATTTCACAGATGAGGAAATTGAGGCAAACAGAAGTAATATGACTTACTCAGGGTCACATAGTAAGTGTCTGAGGGTAAATTTGAATTCAGATCTTGACTATAGGCCTAGTGTTCTATCCACCTTATGTGAACAGAGTAACTAAAACATTTTTTAATGCATTTTTTTCCCTACCCGGAGGCATTGTTTCTTTGGGCACATATTGACCCTCAATATTTTCCTCAGTAGAATATTTCCTTAATTAGAATTACATGTGATGGATCTTAGGACTAAACATGATGGCTAAATTAAGGAGGAGGTATATTTGAGGGCAGGTCCTAGGCAGTTTAAGGGAATGAAAAATAATTATGGAAGGCAACAAGGCATAGATGCAGATTCAGATGTGTTGGAAACCTTCAAGCAAGAGTCTATTGTGTATGTATCTATTTCTATAGATGTTGTTTTCCCTTTCAGAGTTTAAGCTCCTTGAGGACAGGGACTTTTTGTCTCTCTTTACATCCTCAGACCTTAGCACAGTGCCTGCTACATAGTAAGGTCTTAATAAACCCTTGCTGGCTAACTTTACATTCTGTGAACCGTCCTGCTATGGAAGGTGGATCCAGGGTCAAACCAGAGAATGACTTTACTGCAGAAATTTAAAATGTAAGATGCCCCATAATGACAGTAAAGCCAACACAGTACATCTCTCCCTCCAGTCCCCATTGTATAGGGCTGGATTAAGTCAGCTAGGAAGGGAATCGTGGCTGGAGAGGATGGTATTTTTTTTCCATACTGGGGAAAGCAAAACAAGACAGCATTGGTCATAAGATGGTTAGATCACAGAATTTAGAACTCCCATCCAAGTACCTTATTTTACAGATGAAAAACAAACCCAGAAGTTTCCTTTCGGGCCACATTTTTAAAAAATGCTTTAAAAGAGACATCATTTGTCCCTCCTCTCCAATAGAACCTCTCTGGCTAAATTTTCCTTTTTTTTTCTTTTTCTTTTTTAATTTTTAGGCAATTGGGGTTAAGTGACTTGCCTAGGGTCATACAGCTAGTAAGTGTTTGGTCTGAGGCCGAATTTGAACTCAGGTCCTCCTGACTTAAGGGCTGGTGCTCTATCTACTGTGCCACCTAACTGCCCCACTGGTTACATTTTTCAAAGCAATCCATGTACTGCAATCATGGTTAAGGGGAACCACCTTTATTTCCTTAAAAGCTAATGTGAAATTTCCATGTAGCAGGAGAGAGAGAGCGAGCGAGAGCCAGCAAGCGCTGATTCTGGGAAGGGATGTACTTTTCTAGAAGCACTCAAGATGAGACCTCCAAATGAAGAAAGGCTTGGCAGGATTTTCTTCACAGCAAGTAGAAGGTGTTGCTCCTAGTTTTAAAACACTCTGGCTATACTTAGCCCAGAAAGCTTTTCAGATACATCTTGCACTCTGTGATGGTCTTAGGAACTCAGAGTGGGGGAAACTACAGTCTCCACTTTATTGCATGGAATACTCATTTATCTTGCATAGTAGGGATTAGGAATATAGGGACAGCCATCCCTAAAGAAAGAATCTGTATCTATGCATAAGGAAGGAGAACAAGATAAATATTATTTTTATGCTTAATGTATTCTACATTCTACATCTCTGTCTTGACACAATGCTATCTTTTCCACAACCTTTTCCTAGAAACAACATATGCTTTATTTTTCATGTGTATATGTGTTCTGGCATGGTTGCTTTGCCTGCTATTATTGATGGCTTAAAAAAAAAGGAATTTATATTAAGTGTGGTGTAGCATTGCAGCCTCAAGGAGAACTATACTGTAGTATTTTTTTTTTAATCTCAATGCCCGTTCTTTTATTATTTTGTTTTGCAGAATTAAAAAAATGCCGGAGGGTGTTAGTTACCATAGGAATAAGGTCTTAGTCAGAACCCCAAAGTGCACAAATAACACACACTGGAAAATAAATTGGTGGAGGAAACTGGATAGCTTAGGGATTTGCCAATAGGATCCAAAGCAGTTTTTTCATCTGAGTTCACTGACTCAAGTTTGGTTGTGATGAGACTGGGAGTCATTGTCAACTGAAATTCTAGCACCTTATTAGGAGAGAAGTGGAAAGTACATGATAGCCAAGTGGATATCGGGACTGGATTGAAACTGACAAGCACGTGAGCTGGGATAAATGAGCAAGGTCACCAACCCATTTTTTTAACTCAGAGGTTGAAAGCGTAGAGGTAAAGATCATGTAGTATAAGCATAATCCCATATAAGTAATAATAATATAATAAAGCAAATAATTATAAATAAAATGTTTATATATAATATATAAACTAATATAATAAAATTAATAATTATAAAAAATAAAGCTAATATTTATATAGTGCTCACTATGTGCTAAGTGCTTTATAAATATTATCTCATTTGATCCTCCTAACAACCCTGGCAGATAGGTGCTATCATTGTCTCCATTTTATAGGTGAAGAAACTGAGGCTAATGGAAGTTAAGTGACTTGGCCCAGAGTCACAAAACTAGAAAATGCCTAAGACTGGATTTGAACTCAGGTCTTCCTGACTCTAGGCCCAGAGCTCTGAACCACCTAGCTGACTATAGGTTAAAGTACGTTAAAAACCTCTTCCAATAACATGATTTCATTTATTCTCACTTTTTGGACTTTGCCACTATGCCTCAGTTGCTTTTTCACCCTGGAACATTCCTCCATTCAAGTCCCCTTCTCCCACTGCTGAGTTCCTCTTAGAGCCTCCATTTTGAGGAAGGGCCCAGGATAGCCATCCATCTCCCAATTCAGCTTCTGTCTCTCTAGACTTCACACTGCCCCTGTTGTTTGCCCCAACCTTTCAACTCCATTTTATGTGTTGTCTTCTTCTATTAGAATGTAAGAGCCTTGAGGTCAGGGACTATCATCCTTTTTACTCATATTTGTATTCCCAGCACTTAGTGCTCTGACACATAACAGAATTTTAATAAATGCTTGTTGACTGACCTTGGGGGTCCTATAGTCCAATCTATATATTATTATTGTGTTTGTCTGTTTTTTTTTTTTTAGTCATGTCCTATTCTTCGTGAAACCATTTTGGGGTTTTCTTGGCCAAGATACTGGAATGGTTTGCAATTTCCTTCACCAGTTCGTTTTATGGAAACTGAGGCAAAGAGGATTAAGTGATTTGCCTAGGGTCACACAGCTAGTAAGTGTCTGAGGCTGGATTTGAACTCATGAAGATGAATCTTCTTGACTCCAGGCCCAGCACCCTCTAGTCACCCAAAAATTACTATGGCACAGTGTAATCAAATATATGGGTCCATTTGTGCCTTGTTCTGCTCTGTATAAATCCTCTGTCCCCCTCCAGAAGAGAAAAGCCTTCTGAAGGGAATGAAGGTGTGATGTACTGATAAGGCATTATGTCCAAAAACAATGTTCAGGAATATGAAAATCAACCTCTGTTGCTCAGAGGATGATGGGTTATTAAAAAAAAAACCACACACACACACTACCCTGAAGCTTTGTCAACTCCCCTTTATCTCAGAGGCCTCCCTTCCTGTTCATGGTCTAATTATTTTGGTATTGAAGGAATTGCCTGTATCAATTATTTCATTAAAATAGAGGAATAGTGTTGCTCTAAGTATAACAATCTGACTCTGGTCCCCACTGAGAAGCAGCAGGAGAAGTTTCCCATTTATAGAGAGCCTGTCAGAAGCTGGAATTTGCATCCTATCATTACAAAGCATGGAATTTCAAACATGAAAAGGCCTCCAATAGTGTGGTTGCAACTTCTCATTCTAAAAGTCTCCAGATGGAGAATCCTTTGCCTCTCTCCCTCTCCCCTCCTATTGCTGAAAGGTAAAGAGAAGCTTACTGTTTGGGTAAATAATGATGCACCCATTCCCAAGGGGTGCCAAGGAGGCCGAATTCTAAGTAATGACTTTTTTTTCCCTCTTGTGGCCCTTAATCATTTTTTATAATAATTAAAGATGAAAGATACTGAACGGTTAGGTTATAAGCAACGATAGTAAATTTCTCTTCCTTCTCTTATTCATAGGCTCATAGGGGAAGGAAATCGTAGGTGATTGTGTGTGGTTTGTCCTTCATTTGCAAAGAGGACCATGACATCACGAAGATGATGCCATGACTTGCCAAGTGAATTGGATTTAAGTGAGGGAAGGCTGTGCAAAGTCGCCAGTATCACTTTCTCCTCCACAGCCATCTGGGTCCAGTGGCTAGCTATAGATCAGGATGACTGGAGATGGCCCAGGATGCAGTGGGAAACCTTGGCCTATGAAATATTTCGTGTAATATGGAGAAAAATGGACAAAAACCCATCTGTTCTTAGGGCTCTGAACGTTGTGGATGCATTTGCTAATTTATCAGCATTATCAGGAGTTTCTTTTTGCCAATTCATTTCTGCTCAATACAAAATAACTCATGCCTGGTCTTTTTTTTCGCCTGTGTTTTGGGGTAGGGGTAGGAGGGGAGGACTCAGGGAGAGTGTGGGGCCTGGTAGACAAATTGAAGTCATTGGGCATCTCCTAAGCATCATGGGAGGAGAATGGGAACATAGGTGCTAATGGAGGCATAGCTGTCTTACTAATTAATGAGATCTGCTTTGGATATTTTGGAGGTCTGGAGGAGTGAAGCTCAAAGCAGGAGAGACATCATCGTGTTTGACATTACCTGGATTTGCTCGAAGGGTACTTCAAAGCTGAATGACTCATTATAGTAGGGATTCAGCGTGTTCTTCTTAATGGTGGTCTTTTTCTTCTTCAATCTCTTACCGTTCTGCATCAGGTGAATCTTCACATAGGGATCTGAGGAAAGCAAACGGAACGTTGAGTTAGGAATTCAGGGACACATTATCCTGCTTCCCGGTGGAACCTTGTAAAGGAGACAGGTACCTCCCTGCAAGGAAACAACTCTATAATGGATTTTGATTCTAGTGAGAGGAAGGAAGAAAACAAGCACTTATTAAGTACTTACTATGTATAAGGCAATGTGCTAAAATTTAGTTTTAAAGGCCTTTATAAGAGTATCTCCCACATAGGGAAAGGAGAAGAAAATAAGCATTTATATATCACCTACTGTGTGCCAGGTACTGTGTTAAGCACTTTACAAATATGATCTCATAATAGCTCTGGGAGGTGGGTTTTTTTTAATCCCATTTTACACTTGAGGAAACTGAGGCAGACAAAGGTTAAGTGGCTTGACCGTGGTCACATAACTAGCAAGTGTCTGAGACTGGATTTGAACTTAGGTCTTCCTGACTCCAGGCCTGGAACTCTATCTACTCTGCCTTTGACTGCCTCTGGAATTAGAGTGCGGAGGACCTAGGTTCAAATCTGGTCTTTGATACTTATTAGTTGTGTGACCCTGGGCAAGTCAATTAACCTCTGTCTGTCTCAGTTTCTTCATTTGTTAAATGAGGAGGTTGGCCTTGAAGGCTTCTAAAGTCCTTTCCAACTCTGAATCGATGATCCTGGGTAAATCATTTCTCTGAGTCTCAGTTTCCTCATCTGTAAAATGAGAGAACTGAACGTGAAAGCCTCTCGTCTCAGTATTTATGGTCCTATGACCTTGGGCAAATAATTATATCTCCATGAGTCTCATTTTCCTCCTTGACAAATAAGTAAACTAACACCTGTAGTTCCTATCTCATGGAGTTGTTGTGAGGCTTATTTGGTATCAATAAAAAACCAAACCGGGAAAAAAAACCCCAACATCTATTAAGCACCTACTTTGTGTGAGGTGCTGAGAATACAAAGACAAAATCTGGACAATCTCTGCCCTAAAAGAGCTTAGGTTTTACCCATATGTGAGCATTTAGCATTTGATGATCATTTTTTACTTAAAATAATACATTTGTAATTTAACATATATTTGAGTATATTTAGGTGGTACAGTGGAGAGAGTGCTGGACTTAGAATGAGTAAGATCTGAGTTCGAATTCTGCCCTACCAGCTATGTGATTGTGGGCAAGTCACTTAATATCCCTCAGTCAAGTTTCTTCATCTGCAAAATGGGGATAATAATAATGCCTACCTCCCCCGGGGTTGTTGTGAGGATAAATTGAGATATTATTTATAAAGTGCTTTGCAAACCTTAAAGTGCCATATAGAAATGCTAGATTGTATCATAAAAAATTATTATAACTGTAATCTAATAATAGGTATATCATAAATAGAAAGATAGTGGATAGAGGGCTAGCCATGGAGTCAAGAAGATCTGTGTTCAAATTCCATCTCTGATACGTGTGTGACCATGGCAAAGTCATTTATCCTCTTCCCTGCTTCCCATCCCCTCTGTCTCACACGTCTCTAAGACTATAATTTGTGGAGAAGTAATTGATCTATACCAGTGGAGGGAATCTCCAGTCTGGGAGTACACTGTGCTAATGAAATCATGGGTTTAGTTGAAAAGGATTATTTCCAAGAATCTTCCATTTCCCAGATTTTATAAGAGCCATACTCCTCCATACCATCTCAGTGTTCAAGATAGTATTTTCCAGGAAGAAGCAAAAGTTATTTTGAGTACTATAAATACCCAAATTAACTAGAAATGACATATGAAGAAAGATGCTATCTATATCCAGAGAAAGAACTGATAAATAGAAGTATGTATAGAATTATTATATATATACATAGCTATCTATTTATCTATATCTATATCTATCTATTTGTGACTAATGGTAGCCATCTCTAGGGCATGGGGAAGGAAGGGAAGAAAAAAAAGAAATTTGCATGATAAATTTGTTGTATGGGAAAGAAAAATCAAGTTGTGTATAGTAGATTTGCAGTTTCATGTGCAAGGTTTTTATTGTACTATGTTATGGAAATGCTTATTTATTACCACAAATTGGAAAAAAAAAAAAGAAAATGAAGGTGATGGAACAGAGGGGCCCCTCCCCTCTACTGACCAACCCGAGGTTCCCTTAGCATTTTCTACAAGGGATCACTGGGGCAAATACCAGTTTGAATTTATTACATGGGAAGCAAGGCTTTGACTGGGATTGCCTTATTTAATTTTTCTATGTGGACAAATCAGCCACAGGAAGAATGCATGCTAATTTTCTCTCTAAGAGTTCAAGTCTTCTGGTTTTTCTAAAACTCCCAAGGGGAAAGCAACCCTTCAAAACTCTCCAAACCTTCCCATGTACACAGACCAAAGCTGGTGAGCCAGCAATCAGTCCCTTCGACAAAAGAGCTGCTTAATGACTAGAAATCCCAGTGTAAATAGATACATCTGCAGCCCCATCCTGGAATGTAAAGGAATTTGGCCTTTTCAATATGAATATATCTTGATGACAAGAGGCTTTGTTTATTTGGTAAACCCTCCCCTTTCCTCCCCCTCCCTGGCACCTTTACAAACAAACATAATTACAGCAACAATGGCTGTCAACCTGTGTTTTTGGATTGGCACAGGGTCCGAAGCCAGAGATGGTATTTGTGTTTCCAAGTTTAAATACATCTACTCTTTCTGCTAGGACTCAGGAACTGATTTAGGCAAAGGAGCCGGATGGTTGGCACTGGGGGAAAGAGATTGATTTGCCGTGGTAATCCCAACTGTGTCTCTGGGCGATCCTTTGTTTGCTGTGAAATCAGCCATGAAAACAAGCACTGGTCCATATCCCAGGGCTGAAAACAAGTCAGGTTAGCTTAATGAGAGTCAGACAATAAATAGTCTTGGAATATTAACATCAAAGCACCACAGATCTTCCTCTGGAAGGGATTTTAGGGTATATCAAGTTCAACCACCTCATTTTATAGATGAAGACATTGAGGCCCAGAGGTGATAAAGTAACTTACTCAAAGTCTCAGAGGTAGTAAATGGCAAAGGCAGAATCTGAACTCAGTTCCTTTGACTCTAGGGACAGCTAGGTGGGGACAGACTGCCTGGCCTGGAATCAGGAAGAGTCATCTTCCTGAGTTTAAGTCTGATCTCAGACACTTACTAGCTGTACGACCCTGGGCAAGTTGCTTAACCCTATCTGCCTTAATTTCCTCATCTGTAAAATGAATGGGAGAAGAAAATAGCAAACCACTCCAGTATCTTTGCCAAGAAAACCCCAAATGGGGTCACAAGGTCAGAATAACAATAGCAAAATTTTACCACCTATTTTACAAGGTTATAAAAAAAAAAGCACTTTGCAGACTTCGTAAATGGGGTCAGGAAGAGTCAGACACGACTGAAAAATGACTGAATAGCAAACAACCCTTGAATCTAAATCCAGGATTATTTTCCTCTTTCCATGACACCACACTGACTTTCTGCATACAAGGTGCCATGGCTTTCTTTTCCCTTCTTGTCTGACTTTGGAGCCATTGCATTTCTAGGCATGTCAGGGACCTTGGGAGGAATTGGGATCTATGGACAGAAAATGTGGAATATTAGATTGGGAATTTGGAAGGCTACATTCTAATCCTCCCTCTGCTCTTCACTGAGTGAACTTTAAGTCATTTTGCTTTTCTAGGCCTTAGTTTCTCTATCTGCAAAACATCTGGATTTCTCTAGTATCTAGACTGGGTTCTGTGAACTTTAAAAACATATTTTGACTGTATTTCAATAAACATAAACAAATATAATTAGTTTCCTTTGTAATCCTAAGTATTTTTTAAAGTATTTAAAAAATATTCACATAAAGGGTCCATAGGTTATATCAATCTGCCAAAGGAGTCTGTGATACCAAAAGAGTTAGATTATCTGACCCTTTAGATGGTCTGGATGGTTCCTTCTGGCTATATATCTTATAAGTAAGAATTCTGTGGATAAAAGATTGAAGGTCTGATTGCCTGCAAAGCTTGGAAAAATGACTTGAGGATCATCCATTTTGATAATAGCCTTGATAGAGACCCTTCCTTGGAGCTGACTGAGTTGTAAACTTCCAAGGGTCTAATTCTACTATTGGTCTGCTACAATTTTATCCTAAGGCTTTGATTCTTTTAAAAAAAAAAAAAGGAATGCCCTAGAGAGAGAGAACTGATTTAAGATAATTATCAACCAGTTGCAGAGACCCTAGGCATAATGGGTGCTGGGCTTGGACTCAAGAAGACCTGAGTTCAAAGTATATCTCTGCATTCACTCTAAAAGTATTTATTAAGTTCTTACTGTGTGCTTGGAGATGGGCTAACTCCTAGGGACTCAAAGAAGGTAAAAAAAAATAGCATGGTCCTTGCCCTTAAGGGGCTCGCATTCAAGTAGGGAAGACAACATCCAAATTCACTAAATAAATTTATTAAACACCTACTATGTTCCAGGTACTGTGTTAAGTGCTAGGGATGCAAAAAGAGTTAAAAAACAGTCCCTGCCCTCAAGAAGCTTACAATCTAAAGTAGGGAGACAATATAGAAACAAATATATGTAAAACAAGCAATATACAAGATAAACAGGAAATACTTAAGAGAGGGAAAGCACTGGAATTATGAGGAGTTAGGGAAGGCTTCCTGTAAGATTTTAGTTGGGACTTAAAGGAAGCCAAGGAGGTCAGAAGGGAGGAGGAAGAGTGTTTCAGTCCTGGGGGATGGCCAGAGATACATTGAGTAAATGGAAGGGAATTTCAGAGGAAAGGTACTAACAGCTGGGGGCACCTAAAAAGGTCTCCTTCAAAAGGTAGGATTTGAGTAGAGTCTTCAAGGAAGCTGAAGGCTGAGGATATTCCTGGGATACCACTTACTAAGGGTGTGGCCCTGGGAAAATTTTTTAACTTAATCTCTTCAAGTAATTATTTTTTTTTTTAGTCCTGTCAATTCTTTGTGACTCCATTTGGGGTTTTCTTGGCAAAGATCTTGGAGTGGTTTGCCATTTTCTTTTTAAAAAA